TACATAAAAGCTTAATAAATTTGTAGATCTCATTTTAGAGAACTGTTAGCAGTTTTATTAATCAAAAGCTCCTTCTGTTGAAACTACTTGTAATACAGCAATAATAACCAAGTTTGTGTAGTTTGTAACTTCTAGTAAAGTTCTGGGTTGGTAACTAAAATTTTAATTGATTGGTCCCTATCTACTGTTTGGATTGGAACTTTTGTTTATTTAATTGTGCGTATCAATGAGTAGCTTAAATATGGGTTTAGAAAAATATGAAAAATGGAATTGATGAACTTCTATCATTAAACTATGCTTTTGCAGTAATTAAACTATTATTGTCATCTCTCTATTATTTTTAGAACAGTAAGTTAAATATTATTGCAGAAAAGCTGGCTTTTCTGCTCAGGTTAACATGTTTAACAAGACTATGTTCCTGTTACATTCACAAAATTATTCCTTCAAAAGAAAAAAAAATTGGGTGGAGGAAAAGAAAAAATATTTTAAAAGTTGCCAGACCAAAGAGCCTTCAGAATGAAACACTGCTACTTTCTTAATATATTTAAATAAATTATAGACAAAACAGTTTTAATCAAATAATTCTATAGAAAAAAAACCTAGATGTTAGTGTTTTGTTTTGGCTCAAATAATAGTTCTTGAGAATGGGGATGTGAAAAATATTTGACAATTGAATTGCAGAATTTTTCTGATGGAATTTTTTTCTTTTTCTGTCATTACCCTGTCCCAGGCAAAACTTTACATTTGCCTTGAGTCATAAAACAAAGGAAGTAAGCGTAAAAAGAAGTTCAGAGAGGAACTGTGAAGTTCAAAAGTGTTGCAATTTGAGATGATTAATATTTAGGGGGGTTTAATGCATTGGGTTTGAGTCCTGTAGCTGTTTAGATAGCCTCAGGTTCTGGAGAAATCTGACTAATTTAGCTTGTGTTTGTAATTTGCCCCCTTGTATCTTATTAATGTGCCTGTCCTCTGTTAAAAACATTATGTGTCAGTGATGACTGATCTATAGCTGATAGTATTGCTAATTGGTTTTTGTTTTGTTTTTAAAGTGGTGCTCTTATATGCCTTTGTAAGCTGCAAACGTGGGTGGTTATGACCCCAAGTGGGAAACATGTTAGGTCCAAATACTATTTTAGATTTTGCATTTGTCAGAGGAACTAAGAGTTATCCCTTCTGTTTCTTGTTAGATGAGTCAGTTTTAGTCCTAGTGAAATCTTTATAAATAGCAATAATTTATTCTTTAGGTAATTGATACAGTTTTAAGGCATTTGTGTTTCTGATGCTCACTACTCTTTAACCTCAAGAATAGGAATGGATCTTTAAAAGCTGTGCTGCTTGTATTAGTGATTTTATTCAAGTAAGCTCATCAGTTAAAATGCTTTGAGAGAATAACCTTCTTGCAGATGCACCACTGGTAATGTTTTTGTCCCAGCAGTGGCCTAACAGGCTGGGAAATGTGAGCTGTTCTCTCAGAATCTTCAGCCAGTTCTAAATCATGTTATTGAGCAGGAGTCATTTGTCATGATTGCGATACTGCTTAAAAATTTTATAGCCCTTCTTATAAAATCCTTAATATATATTTTAAAATTTCAAATAAAGTACTCCTTTCGAAGTTTTTGAGGTTGTTATAGCATTAAAGCAGTATGATTTCTTTTGCTTTTAACATACTAGGCCGTATCCTAATCAGAGAGAGAGAGAGAGAGAAGGGTGTCTTTAAGGAAACGTTTGCTATGGATCCTGGTGTAGTTGACTCTGAATTGCAGATTCAGTAGCTTATGATCTTTCTTGAGTTTTGGTATCCATTAAAAATTAAATGCTTCTAAGTCAATTTCCCTGAATTTTTATTTATTATTTTTAGCTTTTATTTTGGCATTGTGCATAGACAGGCAAGGAAAAATCTTCTGTATACCTGCACTGTTTTCATAATTTTCCTTATATTTTATTATTTTAATCAACAGAAGCTCAGATGACTTGAAAAAGGAACATACTACTGTCAAGTACTATCTCCCATTCTTGACCTTTGAAGATATTGGGGGGGGGGCAAAGTTTAAACTGTATTATTTTATTAAATGGTTTATGCAGGTCATATTTGGTTTTGGAGAAGAGAAGGCATTCTTGTAAATAGGCTTTGTATTCATGCAGGAACAAAGTGTCTTTCTAATTCTAGCAACAGAGATTTTGTCAAAA